TTATACTTAGGCTGAAAGTCCCAGCGGAGCTCATTTTACTCTTCAGCTTGCTTACTAGTTCTGCTGGTTTGCTTCCTTCAAATAGTTGCCATGTAAGCTTCATCTGGGAAAAAAAAAAATGTATATTTCCAGAGACACAGAATTTGAATTCCCAAGCAGGAGGGCTCACAACCATCCCAGGGGTCCCCTTGAGACCACTGAAAGATTAATCAAATGTAGCAGTTCTTGTATAGCTATGAGGGACCTGCAAGTTGTGAATCTCTCCTACCATTGATTTTTTTTCCCCTCTAGAGAACTCCCCAATTCTTTCACCATTACGTTCAAAGTGTGGACCAACAGAGTTTACACTAAATATTAAAAACTGTTACTTAGTCCTATCTTAGGGCTCAACTCAGCAGACCACCTAAACACATGCATTAAGCACACAAGTAATCTCATGCAATTCAACAGAAATGCTTATGTGCTTAGTCAGGCACATGGTTATTGAACTAGGAATCAAAAGAGAGTTCATGACAAATCTCCCAAGAATACCTCCAGGGATTTGAAAGGCGCCGATCATGACTACATGACCCGCTATGTGCTCACTCCTCATCCAAATCCAATTGTAGCAGGCAATAACCCTGACCTCTCTCTTCCTAGCAGGCATTTTAAAATTACTCCCATCTAGCTCTCTCCAGGCTGACAGCAGTCTCTGCAGAAAAACCTCAAGCTTGCAACAAATCTCCACCACCCAGTGCTCTCTCCCTTCTCCAGGAGTTCCTCCCAGGGCAAAGGTCTTCAACCTTCCTTAATAATATTACAGGCAATCAAACAGCTTTTATCACCTCCTGACACAAAAGAGGCAAGTAGCTGTCTTCCAGAGAGTGCCTTTTCCCAGTATGAAGATGTAGGCAAGCAGCATCCTGCTTCAAGAATTTGTTCTAGTTGACTGGGAGAACAACTGTGCCATGCACAACAAGGCTCCCACTCCTTGTGCCTGAAAGAGCAGTAGCTAAAGACTTTGAACACAGGCTGCACCCAGACGAGCATGGCCGTGCAGTACGTGGTGCCACAGACACACCTGAGATGCCACATACCACGCATTTAGCTGTTCTCCGCACGTCAAGGGAGCAGCGCAGGGGATATCCAGGGGTCAACAGAAACCTGCACAAAAAAAAAAAGGCAGAGCGGCACATGCAAGGGCAATGCACACCACTCAAAGTTGGAGCCTGGATGGCCACAGCCACGTGCCGGCTGCTGGCCAGAGTCCGAACAGCAGGATTCCTGCTGCTGCAGCCCCAGGAGCCCTCCAGGACCCCAGGTAAGGCTGCGGGGGCCAGCCCAGTGCTGACCCCAGCTTCCCCTACCCCACCCGGGGTAACCTGCCACATGCCAAAGGACAATTTGTAGCAGCACAAGGTGTCCTGATGCTACTTGTGCCCCAGGAAACGAACATCCACGCTCGTGTGGACGCAGACCCAGATTTTATCACAGGGTCTTTTCCTTTTGGTCAGCATCTGCCTCTATTTTAAGTCTCTGCTTTAAGTCCAGAACTTCTGGAATAGGGCAATATTTGCTCTTTGACTCCTTATTCAGACCTTAAGTTTCCAAACCAGAAAGACATTTGCTATGTTGCCTTTTATCATTGCTACCACAAAGATTTCCTTGAACTGAACAAAAGAGGCTTCTTACACATGGAAGTCAGCAAGTTCTCACTGACTTTAGTTTATGAAGAGCATGCAAGATTCTTATCAGAGGGACAAGGAAGGGGAGGGGAGAGGAGGGGAAAGAAAGGCAGAAAAGCCCTCCAAAACAAAGCTTATGAAGCAGCATATCTTCTAAAATGCCTGAAGTGGCTAGAATAATGAACTTCAACTGATTGTGGGGGAGCAGAGGACATTGTAAAAGTTCTACCATTACAGTGTTTCTATTGTCTCATTAAACTATTCAGGAATTTTCATGACATTTAGAGAAAGAGAAAACAAAAACTGAGGAGTGTTTTTCCTTACTGTAAATATTAATGGGTGTTGCATTCATTAATGCAACAGCACAGAAAATCTCTTTTCCAAAAGTGATTTTAGTGCTGGTTTTCTTGTATTATTAATGAGAAATTTTGTATAATTTCCCCAGTGTATTCTGCTAAATTTTCCAGTGGATTAATACCTGGAGTGGTGCATGTAGCAATGTAGTTTGGGGTCTATCAGCCCATTGCTTATTGGTTTGGGTGTTTAGTTAAAGGACAAAACCCACCTGACTCCAAAGTAAAAGGATCTACCTGTGAGGTCAGGCAAGGAGACGTGACCTACTGATAGGACTGGGAAATTTGTTTTCTTCTGATTTTATCTTCCATGCTCTGTAATGGACAGAAGTAGCTGACTACAAGAAAACACTGTAGGCCAGGTGGTTGTGGGACGCCTTCCATCCCTTTGAGATAGAGACACTCGCTCCTGCAAATCTCACTGGCCCAGCACAGATTGGTAAAGACCTCCTTAACCTCTAACTTTGTCCCAGCTCTTGGCTTAACACAATGAGGCATAACACTGGTGCATGACTCTTTACACCTCCTCGTACTCCACTAAGCACACTTCCTGCCATTAGCTCCTCTAATGATAGGCTCACAAGGGCTTGCCGCATACGGCCAACGGGTAGAAGCACTAAGCAACTATCTGAAGAACAGTCACATGCACAGTTGCATCAGACACAGAGATGCAGCCCAGCCCAAGGACTATAACTGATCGAATTGGAGGATGGGAAGAGTTAACATGCAAAGGGGAAGAAGGAGATTAGATGGGCACATTTTGGTCCCACGGGGTAGAGGGAGATGGAGAAGACTGAGGTCCCCTTGGTACAGGGAGCCAATGGGGTTAGTTCTATGGCAGGCAGCCCATTCTGCCATTTTATGGAAATGTGCATAGCAATTTATACACCCATTTCCATAGAAATCTCTCTACTCAGCCCAGATAGGCTACTCTGGTTCTGCATCACCACGTGGCCTACTACCATAAAGGTAAAAGCCAGCCCTGCATACTGCACAACATGCATGTCTCCCTGACTATGCAGCCCCATGTTATTTTAACAGTTCCAAATTCCACATGAAAGATTTTAATATTAAAACAATAAAATAGGCCATAATGCCCTAGACTGTACTGTACTAGTATAATAAGATTATACATTCCAGTCATTTACAGGAGTATTCCAAGAGGGCAATTTATTGCAAGTAGGATTATCTTTGGCTACACATATTTTGCGCTGAGAGCTGAGGAATTTGTTCATTTGATTTATAGCCCTATCTTATACAGGACTTGGGGGGGGGGGGCAAGAAAAAAGAGGTAAAGGCATAAAATTAAGGATAAGGTATTTGGGACTGCCAGCCAGATTTAGTAATAGACTCTAGGATATTAATTTAGGATAAACAAAGCAAACTTAAGGAATAAGAGGTTAGAAGGCTGAGGCCTACCACAGTTCCAGAATAAAATATATAGTTTAAATCCACACAAATTCCATTGTCCATAACTTAATATTATGCACATGCTTAAGTGCTTTCCAAAACCAGAGCTTAAGTGATTTGCAGTATAGGCCCCCAACTCCTTATTTGCTAGTTGTTTCACTGCAACCATCCCAGCATGCTTCTGCTCAAGCACTGCACTTGGACAATGCCAGACTACACCATGCACTAGCCACTGCTTTAAGAAATAAATTGCATGCAATATTTTCTTTAGGCTTATCCCAACAAGATTTTGCATTGTTTGCCCTTTGCTGTGGAGGAAGGGAGAGGCCTCTTCTGTGCTGGAGGAGGAAGGAGAAAGAATACCACCCAACTCCAAAATCCGGCTACCCAAGCAAAAATCTCACTCAGTCTACATGGTCTCTTTGAACTCCAACTGCCTTTTCACTTAATTGGTTCACCTAAGTTTAATGTGATAGGCTTCTGTATCACAGAGAGCCCCTAACTGATGAGCCCTTAGATACATATGATGTTACCTAGGATCACAGGAAAGTAGGCTGGAAGGGATCACATGAGGTCAACTAGTCCAGCCCCCTTGCTAAAGGCAGGATCATCCCTGACTAAACAGTCCCAGCCCAGTGTCTGTCCAACCTGCTCTTGAAAGTGTCCAGGGATGGAGATTCCACAACTTCTCTTGGTAGCCTGTCTCAATGCTTAACCATCCTCAGAGTCGCAACGTTTTCCTAGGTCATATCCACACAAGATGCTATGTCACCATAGTGACAAACTACAGCATCATAGCTCATCACTATGGTGATGTAGTGTCAGCAGTACTAACCCTCATGCTGCTGCTACTGTGCAATAGCTCATTACTACTGCTCAGTAGGGTTGGAAATGACCTGTGAACTGCCAGGACCGCATAGTCATTTAGTACTTGCTTCAGTACCAACCGTGCAGTGGGGCACATGTGTAGACAGAGCCCTAGTCCCTAATCTAAATTTGCTTTGCTGTAGCTTGAGGCCACTGCTTCTAGTCTTGTCCTTTATGGCCAAAGAGAGAAACCCATCTCCATCCTCTACAAAAAAAAAAAAGTCACCCTTCAGGTAACTGAAGGCTGTTATCTAATCCCTCCTCGTTCTTCTCTTCTCCAAGCTGAATAACCCTAGTTGTTTGAGCCTTTCCTTGTAAGTCACATTTCTCAGGGCTCTAATAATTTTTTTGGTCTGCTGGAGCTTTTCCAATCTGTCCACGTCATGTTTCAAGTGCAGGGCCCAAAACTGGACACAGTACTCCACGTGAGTCTGCACCAGTGCCAAAGAGGAAAAATCCCTTCCCTAATCTGCAAGAGACATGATATGCTCCTGTTAATACAAGTCAATAAGCTGTTAGCCTGTTTGTGTGTGTGTTTTTTCTAAGTTAAAAACAGAAAATCATGCCCTTAATTTCCCTATGCCCCCAACACTTGGGAAAGGTGGCTCCCAGCCCAAACTTCAAGACCCAGATCCATCCCAAGTATTAATATACAGCAGATTATATCAGTACCTAATAATCAGAGGTGTTAAATACATCAACTCACCACTCCTCCTCCCGCAGAGTGAACTAGCACAGACATGCCTTCTCTTAGGTTGGCAACTTCAAAGAGCATCATATAGGCAGTTACAAAGTTCATAGGAAAGGCAGCAGCTTCAGAAAAACTCATGTCATCAGGGATCTTGTAGACAAATTCTACTGGAGTACATACTACTTCAGCCCATGCACTGTAGTTCACAAAAGCCATGACTCTGTCCCCAATCTACAGTAAATACAAAAAGGATACTGAGGTTATCAAGCTAGTCAGTTTACATCTTACAAAACAGTGGCAACACACTTTAAAAAAGAAAAAAAAGAAAAAAGGAGTAACATGATTAATCATTATGGTTTCAAATTGTAATTTGAAAGACCAGCGGCTCTCCTACTAAAATCTGTGGGCTAGATGGCAGACAAAACTGCTTCTACCACTATAATCAGTCTTGGACTGTAAAGATTTTTGAAGAAATTCAATTGTAACTTTATGTTTTTAAAATAATACCACTTCTTTGTGGGCTTGTTTTTCTGGTAAAAAAAAAAATTAACGAACAGCTTCTTTTCAGTCAATACCAACATTAACACCCATCCTCCTGCATTATTTTTCCTTGTAAAGCACTGGGGTACTGCAAGTAGCAAAGGACTTTATTACTACTAATAAAATCCTGGAGGAAGGGAGGGATGGAGGGAGAGGACCAACAGAATGAAAGGATCTAGCCACTAAACTACATCTAAAAGGAAATTTATTCTGATCCAAAGCTGGAAAGGTTATGAACATGCTACTTGTTGATAAGGGAATCAGACTTGTAATTCATGGAAAAAGAAACAAAAACAACAACAAGAACAAAAAAAAACAACCCTCAATTTGAGAGTAGTAGAACCAATGGTTTAGATTTTAATGCTATCAATATTTCTTTATCTAGCAGTTATTTTATACTATGATATATAGTATTGCTTTTTGCAGAAAAAAAAAATCAATAACCAATAGAGAGCTTAAATACTGTGCCTATATTGATTCATTCCCTAAATGACTCCTACTCAGGGCTATATAATTATACATCTGTCCGCCAGAAGAATTTTATTTATTTACTTTAAATTTTTTTATTAATCTGTATGCATGTATGTATGTATGTATGTAAGACTTCAAACAAACTTTGTATCCCAGAGTTCTTCTGCCAGCTTTTAAATCCATTAGCATGTTTTGCCAAAAAATCCAAGGAGCAATGCAATCTCTTCTCCTGCAACTAATTACTGCAGAAAATATACACAATAATGGAAAAGGGTTTGTCCTGTGCTCAAATACTAAGTGAAACAAAAGCATCTCTATTCTGAGACTGATCAGGATTAAATTAGTGATTGAACCTCAAGGCTCTATCTGAAGTTTAGACATCTGATTCATACATTTATCTAATGGCCTTCGTTGCTGTTTCCGATACTGAGAATTCAGACAGTGGTGTCCCATGGACAGACAAGAATAAATTACTGTCTGGAGCTGCAAGACAAATTCTTCTGCATGGCTATAACAGAAGGATAGCTCCTGCTCAAGTGAGGAAAGAAACTGGTGCAATTGGATTGCTCAAGAAAAAAAGCAAGCAAAATTTGCCCCACCTGCATTCAATTCTCCTTTGCTATAATTCCAATAAAAGTTTGATAATCAGCTTGTACCCATCAGCTTGTACCCACTTACTGCCAAATGTCGTGGACAATAAACTTTCAGCAGCAGGTACAATCTTTGTTATACTCTTGCACAATGCCAATGAAAATGGCTTCCTGATCCATGGCTAGCACTTCTACGCTGTATCACAATATAAGCTTTAAAACAGCTTTATCAAACTTCATGATTTCATCTTATAGCCTGAGTAAGGGAACATTCTGCAGCATTTATATACCTTGCAGTCTACTTTTGCCACCTCATATTTTTGTAATGATGCATCTTCTCCTTATTCCATTTCAACTATAATTCATTACTATGGGATAAGGCACAATATCTACTTGCACCCTAGGGAAAATCTGTTTACAGAACAGCAATATTTTGGCTTCTCAAGGCATTTTCCTCTCTTTGGCCTTTTATATAGTAGGTTTGTTAAATTTTAAATTGATGATGACAGTTCTGAAGGCTTTATATCTTGTAGAAAGAAGCTGTTGAAACAGAACTGTCATTCCCATTTCACTGAAAATTCCTCCTCCTTTTGAAAAGGGCCTTCATATTAATGACGTGTCATGAGTAACAGTTTTGATGTTTCCCTTCTACTATGAAGAAGCACTGACTTTTTTT